CGTCATGTCAACCCAGCGCGCGCGTGGCGCTTAAACCATGCCTTGCGTGATGCGCAGAACGTGTGCGCACAAACAAAAGTAGGCACCGTCCTTAAAGTGTCCGTTTTCACGCGTGAAGATTATGAACGGATCCTTCTGGTACTTTCTACAAACGTTTGTTGTTACTAAGCTATAACAATTCTGTATCTTTAATTGCGATACGTGTTTACTTACCTTGGGTATGATTAGTTTAAACGTGTTGGTATTTAGAGGGTAAGAAAAGTTTGGAGGAAGCTGCAAAGTAAATGAAGTACATTTTAAGTGCGTTAATGAACAAAAGAATACAATAGCTATATAGTTAACAATGTTACCAGCTTGAAACACCACCACCATCATGCCCAATGGCGCACTGTAAAAAAAGTTTCTCGGGAAAGCCTAAGATTACTGGTTTACTCTTCATCAAGCAAGGCAACAGGTAACTATTTTTGTGTTTCTTTTCTTGATTTTTCCAAACAAATCGATTAAACGATTAATTTCTGCCTCATGCATCTCGTAGAATATTTGGTTTCCTCGAAATAGAAAATTAAATCGTTCTTCTTAGTCTTTACAGTTTTTTTACGCAAGCGATATCATGTAACTATTTAAACTGTCAAAGTTGTCAAAGACAAGAATCTCCCAATGAGTATTACATGAAAAATAGCTCACCATTGACGGAGTGACAGTCTCATTGAGTATTCCTGCATCTTGATAAACAAGCCCAGCTGTGTTCAGTAAGTAGTCGGTTACCCAAACGTACACCATCTTAGCTGACTCTGAATCAGGGGGGAGGGGTGCTGGAGAAAACGGAGCCTCTTTTGGTGCCGTCGCAGATTGAAACTCTCCCTTGAAATTTTCACAATATTTAAAATGAATTAACGAGGATAAGAACATTTTGGTCAGATCTTGTTGGCATTCATGTTGAAAGTGACGGTAATCAAGGCAAATCATATTATTTCACCTCATGGTCATCGCATATAAAACGTTGAAGACGAATAATTAAGCCTCATTTAGTCATTATTCGACATTAAAGTGATTGCATGAGTTACGCGTACTTATACTCCGCTCAAGGACAGACGCTCTGGAAAGTTGGAAATATCTTGTTGTGTGTGGCTCGAAAGTAAACGAATTAAGCAACGAGTGAGCATAGTTATTAACTGCAGTTGTACTTACCTTAATGAAGATGTCCGTGTACGACTCAGTAAAGTTAGGATTTGAAACCAGTGAGTAGTTTATGAGAGCATATTTGTCGATTTCCTTTTTAACTACAAAATAGAGTGAAAAATGAAACTACAGCTTTAAAAGCTGATTCGATTTATCCACTAGATAAAACAAACCACGGAGACTTCAATGAGATTATGGATTAGTACATTAAGTATAGGAAATCCCTGGACATGGTGAATAAAAGCAGCGAGTCAACATAAAGCCAGCTAATAAGTAAACATCCATTTCACACAGTCTTAAAGAGAGGTATTCCATGCTCTTAGGGTCGTGTTAAAAACATGATGTATATCTACTCTTGTTCTAACCTGGAAAAGTTGAAAGTGCCTTTTCTGCATTGTTGTTTATTAGATCTGATGTCTCCTGGCACAGCTATTAAGATAATCAAAGGAAATTAATTTACCAAACACAAAAATAAAAATTGAATATACTAACCTTGAAAGATATACAATTTTCGGCAAGGCACGAGAATGGCATCGACTTCCTGACTTAATGCTTGTCTTGACAGAAAAAAAGAGTGCTACTATGACAACTTACCTTGTCCTGCAATGTCTCTTTGATTTTCTTGTCGATGTAGCTATCAAAAAGGTTGTAAAGCCAACTAAAAAAAAGAGGAAGTGTCAATTGAAAATCAGAACAAAACATCAGCAATCCGTGCATCGAGTGTCTGACAGTGGGTGTTAAAAAAAATACTAGCGTTGACAGAAAAAAAAAAAAAAACGTTTTCTGGAGTAACCTTCCCTCAATTCAAATTCTGCAGAAAAACAACAACAACAAAACATAACAAAAATCAGGCTGGACTGTATCAGGATGCATTCAAGGTGTATTTAGAGTTAGAGTCGGTATACGCGGCGTGCTCCGACTCGTATTCGGAAGGATTCGGGTCTGTTCGGCTTTTTACGCAGTGCTGCAATCAAACAGGAAGTGATAAACTATTTTAATATGGACTCGGGACCAAGTAATGAAAAAAATTTTTACACCTTTTTAATTATTAAACAAATAATGAACCGCCTCTACTCAGCCAAATTTCTCTAATCAAATGTTGCTATTTTAACTACCCTTTTTGTGCCAGTCGCAGGCTAACTTTGTCATGGTCGTACTTTTTTGCCATTCGTCTGGCGTAAACGGTATTCCAAAATTTCAGCGACGCAGTTAAGAAACCATCGTCTCCTATCAGACGAGAGAGCTTAAAGCATCGGACGTTTTTTATGTCACGGACGTCAGAATACCGGGGGAGACTCAAAACAGTAATATTTTCCGTGAGAAGCCTGGGCTCTAACGCGCACTTCAGCGCTAGGCATCACGCGATCACCCGAGGGGTCGCGAGAAAGCGCGCGAGATTTCAAGTTTGCAAAACTCACAACAAACATGGCGGCGCGAGGCCTATTTCGTGAAACTTTGTTTCCACCCAGTTTAGTGAGCTATTTGCGATATCGCTTATTTATATCTTCGAAAACATCCATCTTTTAGGCAATTTCAAATGAAAAAAAAAAAAACATTCTTTTTAAACCGCTGTGCTGGAACGTAAACGAAAATTGTGATGTTGATGTTCCGATCGATCGCGCCGGCAATCAATCTAAAAAACAACAGGAAAAAAACTACTCTTCAAGTTTTCTTCATTCATTTTACTAGGCCAGTCTCACCTGCGGGTTTTTGTGGTGCTCTTCTTCTACCGCTTATGCTGGTAACGACAACAACAAAAAATAAAACACTATTCGCGGGTATTCGCGTTTATTTACGTGGAATTGCGGACTTTACTGAGCAGCGGACTGCCTTCACGCGTGCACAAAGTGCGATCTTGCGACCGATCTTGCAAAGTCGAGATCAGTAAGGTCATTCCCCAGTGTTGCATTGCGCATCCTTACTGCGCATAATTTATGGTGTCATTAGCGCGCGTTCGTGCACGCGCACATCGAAAACATGGCGGATTTGCCTTGATATTGAGTTCTGCCAGTTGAAAAATGGCTATAGCTCACTAACGAGTCCGGGTACCCCAAATTTTTTTCCAGTCATTTTAATCATTAGCTTTGCGTGAGAAAAGACTGATCTGATTTTTATTGTTGAAAATTGAATAAATAAGGAAAATAGGAGCTGCACTGTAGTCTTTTCTATTTTGCAGTTTGATAGCCGTGGCAAGCAATTTGGTTCCACTATTTCAACAAGGATTCAGCTGTCTGTCAAAATCAAACTTAAAAAGTTTATTTCGGTCCGACACAAGTATTGACTGTAGTTTGAGGCGTGTTTTCATGAGTCTGGGTTCACAAAGATTTCACAATAACTTGGACTGCGTTCTTGTAATAAGCATTAAATAATGCTAAAATGGGATATTTTCAATGCGTCACTGCTCCTTAACGAGCATGGGCACCCCCCTTTTTATTTTATAATTAAAGTTCTCATATGATAAATATTCAGTGGACAAAGTTTGAACACAAATCTATTGACAGTTTTATTTCAGGGGAATTACCTTAAGTTTAGTTTATTTTCTTGCTGTATAATATTCTGTGTATTAAGTAAAATAACATGGCTGTTGTTGTTGTTGTTGTTGTTGTTGTTATTATCCTTGTCGTCAACGTAGAGTCATACTGAAAATAACTCCTTCTTTTAATACACACGAATGGACCGCTACATCTTGGTTTCCACACACACTGTGCGTACATTACGCCTGGTTATATAAATAGCGAAAACAATTCTTATATTACGTGCCTAGTTCCTAATACATTGCACGCGTGTTGAATTAGTCACGACACTACAACAATGCCAAGCTAAAGTAACCTCTGGTGAGTGGGAGCGTTAGCCACTGCCACGTGACCATAAATAAATTAACTCCAGCTATATAAAAATTGTTACAGTCAAACCAAGTGAAGCCTACCGCCAAGATTACGTTAATGGATTGATTATTTGAATATTGAATCCGCTTGTCGTTTCAAGAATGCAGTAATGAATTGACTTTTGGAATATTGAACCTGTTAGCCTTATTCTTGGAACGACTAGTAGAATCAGTACTCAATTAATCATTTCATTATTGCATTCTTGAAACGACTAGCGGGTTCAATATTCAAATAGTCAATTCATTAATATAATCTTGAAGGACACGCCTTACTTAGTTTGACTGTAAATATTCTACCGACAGTTAATACAAAAATATATGAGAAAGTAACCCGAAATAGAGAATCTCTAGTGCTTGGCCCTTTTGCGATATCGGTGTGTCATCATATTGTTTCCTTTTTTAGGCAAAATGGCACGGCTCTTAGGAATAGTAAGAGATTTTGTTGCTAAACCCCACAAAGCAGCCCCCAGCGCGCCAGCGCGCCAGCAGCAACCCAGACCCGAGCCGACTCCGTTTCAAGCGAAGCAGGGTAAGAATTTTTAGTTAAACCATTAACCCGAGGTAATTTTGTTATGGCAACACCACACCAGCGAGCGAGCAGGGGTCCGTCCGTCCATACAGACCATGGGGGAGGGGGAAGGGAGTATCAAGGTACTCCGAACGGGGGAGCTCAAGAACTCGATCTTTCTGGCTGAAAGATCACGTGTACGTTATACTGCGCTTTTTGTCAGCCCGCGTTTTATTAGCAGGAAATAGCATGAAAATCGCAGTAACAATTTTGGAAGAGAAAGGTTTTTTGTTTTAGCGAGACGATTGTTCCTGAGGACAGATAAATAAAGAAGTACTTGCTTCCTTATTGCAGAAGTTTAACATTTAAGAAAGAAAACTCGTTTCTGTTGTTATGTCAACAAACGATAGCGAAGTTGATATTCCGTTTTCAAGCTAAGACAGAGTTTAACTGAAGTAGAACGGAAGAGATCAAGGAAATAGCCAAGAGGATCCCGAAAGCGAGCGAACCAGGGCTAGACAAAGGAGAAAAAAACAATACTTAACAATACCATGAAGTAGAGCGAGTGGTGCAAAATTTTCTACCACCGCAATCTCAGTGTTAACACTCCCTACAATCTGATTACCTGGAACAGGCCTCAAAGAATATTTATTATGTTACACAGTCTTTTTGTTTTACCATCAAAATTATACCAAAATATCAATGGTTTATCATTTCGTTTGTAAGATGTTTATAAGATTGTTTAGGATTATTTAAGTAACATTTATTGTTATTCTTGGAGTTTAGATGTACTCTTTATTACATGACATTTGTTTCTTTATACAAGGAATGACGGTGGGTTTTACATGTATTAAGAAGCAGGAAGAAAAACTAAGAATATTCTTCAGGTCCCCTACGCTAGGCACACTCTTACTGTTCAATGGTAAAATGGTACAGAGCAGCCCTGCTATTCCGATTAGAAGCTATTTTTTCGAGATTCGATGCAGTAGCGATCTGCTGTGGAGTTTCATGATCGTAGGTATTCGTGCCTTATTAGGAATTCCATTACCCCTGTTGTTGTTGTCAGGGTACATTATTTTTTGCGCACCGGCGCAGAAGTGCTGAGGTGGCGTAGTAGGAATTCCATCACCCCTGCTCTTTAGATCAGTGTAAATTATCAATAGAGCTTGGCGCATTGGTGCAGTGGTGCAATGGCGCAATGGTGCAGTGGAGCAGTCGCACACCGTCCCAGCTATCACGTGATAGAGTGACGCAGTGTTACGGTGGGATTGTGCTGCAGTGGCAGAATGGCGTGGTGCCTCAGTAGAATCAATTGCACAGTGGCACAGTAGTACACTGGCGCAGCTAAGCTCCAACAAAGTTACTGAGTGATGCAGTGACGCAGGGACGCTGTGGGATTGTGGCGCAGTCGCACAATGTCTTAGTGTGCCAGTGGAGCAATTAAGTAGTGCTCCAATGCTACAGTGCTGCGATGATGTAGTTGCGCTGTGGCGTTGTGTCCCAGTTGTCTATAAGGTGATTCCCTAGAAATAACACTTGACGTTAGGTTGTTTTCAATTTTTTTGTGGTTGTTCCTAATAATGCAGTTATTCGAAATGTGCGATAAAAAACATATGGTACGGTGCTCGTCTAGGAGTCATGGCTCGTCAATCGAGCTTGGCTTGAGGGAAATCTCTTACGTTGTATACGTGCACACGCTCATTTGCACGTGCTAATGACGCAAAAATCGTGCACAGTAGGGATGTGCAATGCAATACTGAGGAATCATCTTAAGGGCCCATTAACTGATCTTTACGAGCCGTTGCTAAGGAAAATTTATTCTTATATAACCTCATCATTTTTAGTTAGTTCAGAGTTATTTCGTGTGTTTTAACTTTTGCATGATCAGTAACACCAGTGATGACGTCATCAGGTCACACCCTTGGTCATGTGACTAATATTGGCTCCCAGGCAAATTACTTTATCGGGTTTTTTTTATGATTTAATTTTTAATTTTTTAATCATTGCGCTACGCATAGATTTTGTTTCATTTCTAAAAGTTCAGATTTTGAGAGAATTTCAAAATATTGAAAAACTCGTAATTTTCTGAAAAAGCGTGACTTCGAAAAGGAACGCATAGCTATGTTTTCAACGGTAGGTTTAGTCGAAATTCGTTGGAAAAAAACTGGATTTAATGAAAAACCGCGTTTCCTTTAGCATTTAAAGAAACCTGAAGTGCGCCCGATGTATATTGGAAGTTACCCTTCCAGCGAGTGCGCAATTTACACTACTAATGCATTTTGTTAAGATCAAACAAAGCCACATGCAGTCATTTTTTCTCTTTCTCTTGCTCTTGTTTTTCTGTTTTCT